AAAATGGTTAAGTTGCTGGACTCCCATATAGTTGACCACGGTTTGAGTTTAGACCTGGCAGCTTAAAACTCATGCCGGTGGGCAGCAGGTGGTATAGTGGTTAAAGGTGCTGGACTGCCACATAGTTGAAGGTAGGTCGAGTCCCGGAGCCAGTGGATTGATTTCTCACTTTCTCTTTCTCTCTCTCTGGTCAAATTAAAATAAATAAATAACTGAAGTTAAAAAAAAAAAAACTATTTAAAAAATAAATAACTCATGCCAGGTATGTGTGCATGTGTGCCCAAGATCTCATAGAGGAGGATGGAGGAGAAGGGACTGCTACATGGCCATCACCACCCAGGGGGTGATTTCTCGCTTTCTATCTGTCTCTCTGGCGAGCACACGCATCCTGTAGCCAAAATATCTTTTTTTTTAAAAGAAAGAAAACCACTGCAAATAACTCTTACTTTCTAAGTTTCTTTTGCACTTAGAATCCATTGCATACAATGTAGTGCTAAATACTCCCTGTGTTAGTTTTGTGGGCCCAATTAAGCTGGTTTTTGTGCATGCGTGTGTGCGTGTGTGTGTGCGTGTGTGTGTGTGTGGTGTTGTTATTTTTAGGCGTGGTCTTGCGATGTTGTAATCTCTTGCCTTAGCCTCCCAAGTCGTTAGAACTACAGATGCATGCCACCATGTTTTTGTTTGTTTGTTTGTTTTTTGGTAGGGGTGGGCTGAGACTCAAACCCAGGCCTCTCATATGACCTCAGCCTGCCAAGGAGCAGTGTCTGGTGCACATTAGCACAGCTGGGCCTACCTGTGAGCTTTTGAAGTCCAAGATCACACCTTATATAGCCTGCACTATATGTGTGTGTGTGTGTGTGTGTGTGTGTGTATACATAGGTTTCTGTCATAGGGCACATACACTCACCAGAGAAAGACAGAAAGGGAGCAAGTGAGAAATGATTGTGTGATTTCTCCTCCATTCTCCTCTCAGGATTTTTGGCGCGCACACACACATCCAGTATGACCCTCAAGCTGCCAGGCCTGGGACTCAAAGCATGACCAGCCATAGGGGAGTTCAGCTCCTTAACCACCACGTCACCTACCGACCCCTCCTGTACTTTATTTTTCTCTCTTTCGTGAGAGCAAGAGAGAGAGAGGCAGTATGCGCACCCAGGTCTTCACGCTCTGACCGCCCCCAGCCCCAGCTGGCCCTGGATCATGGGCACACACACGGCCGTGTACTCAGGGCATGGATCTGCACCCTTTCCGTGTGAATCGACCTCACCAACGGTCGTGTTACTCATGTGCCACCGTCTGGCCCCCACTCCTTGCTCCCTGCATTTTTCAGTTTGTCTAAGTTCAGACTTTTTTTGTCAACTCATCAGCGAGCGTTCTGAGCCCTCACATGGTGCTGAGCCTGCAAGTCAGTAACTGCCTCGGCGACATCACCTCTGTCTACACAGCAGAGCTTGTGCAATTCTTGGGCTTTTTATTACATGCTACCCATAAAAAAAAATTTGAGTAGAATTCTAGAAAAACGAAACTGCTGACACTAATGACAAGAAACACGTATGCTTCATACACTTACAATTGCATGATCGTCGGGCAGGCTGAAAACATGGCACGTCTTTACTATGAATTAGACACTCCCAGATTTGGACTTTTGGAAAGGAACTGCGAGTCGCAAATATGCCAGAACCAAACAACACCAAGGCAAGATAGAAGACTGTGTTTTCCATTGTATAGATGCAAATTAAAGAAAGAAAAAAGACTGGAAGTAACCACATCCCAAAAGTTGCAGCAGCAGTGAGAGTATGCGTGGTTTTCATCCTCACTCTCTTCTGGTCATGTCAGTTAACTGCAAATAAACAAACACAATACCCTGGACTTTTTTTTCTTCCTCTATCTCTCTCTTTTGCTATAGGGTGTGTGCTCTTGCTAGAGAGAGAGGGAAAGGGAAAGAAAACCTCCCCTTAAGGGGGAAGGCCACGCCACAATCCCTTCTCTTCCATTTTCCTCCGAGAGTTTGGGCATGCACATGCACCTGGCATTTTTTTTTTTCCTTAGAGGTTTTTGCTACAGGG